TGTTGCTGTTCACCTTCTTTTGATTTTATTTGTTTCTTCTGCACTATTTCCGTTACTCCTTAATTAATTCTGTTTTCTTTATTTTTTTTTTTTCTTTTTTAATAGACAGAAAAAGTCTTCCGATCTCAAATTTGAATGCCTGCGAGAAATGTACCTCTTTTATTACATTTTACATTTTTGTTTTTCAGATCTTTTTATAATCATATAACGTGTTCTCAATTTTAGAAATCTCATCAAATTATTTTTCTTTTGCGCTTCTCACTTTAATTGTCACTCTAACTTCACTTGTCCCTTTATATGTAGCGAATTGCCCGATGGGAAAAGAAAACTGTACACGTTTGTAACCAAAATTTATTTCGTTTTAGAAAAAAAGGAATGCACACGAATATTAACAATTTTACTGATTTTAAATCAAAATAACTCCAATTTCTTCTGAAATTACCATTGTCTTATAATAAATTTTCAGTTATTTTTACTGCTTTAGACCTTTAGACCTTTAATAAATTTCGGGATCTTTAATGGTTATTGCGCAAATGACTTCTAATGATTGATGCTTCGTTTCTAATCCATATGTGCCGAATAGAGAAAACATTTTGTTAATTTTTGCTCCTTAATTTTTTTTTGTTTTTTTTTTTTTCTTTTTTTTTTTTTTTATTCTTTTAATTGCTTTCAGTTGTTTACATTTTTGTTGCTTTCGATTTCTTCTAGGCTTGCGTATAAAATACAATGTTTGAATCTTTTTTGATAATTATTCATATGCATGGGTTTGAGGTATGCAACACAAACTTATGTCTAGAAATTGACTTTTGTTAGTAAAGTTCTTTCCTTGAATAAATCTTCATATGTACGTAGGTGCAATAGCACACAATGGGAAGTTTCCTTTTCTTCATTTTGGAATCGAAAAAAAAAACGCGAATCTCCATCACATCAAATTGTACTTCTCCAACGTTTCCCCCTTTTTTTTTGTCTATTTAATTACAATTGCATTATTTGCTTAATGAAGGCAAAGTAGGGAAAACCAACAACCCATACTCTTTGATATCACCTTTTTCACTTAAACACACAACAAATAAAAGGTAAGCACTATGTGAAATGTTAACAGAACTGCTGTAAATAACAAGAACCGCACTCAGCGAGAGCCTGACTCCGACTGACTTCAACTCAGAACTATCCCCTCTTACTTCAATTTTTGAAACGCAGACAGACTTCTCCTTTTTACTTCATTTCCCTCTTCTTCTTCCTGTTGCTCTCTCTCTATAACGGCTTGCCGTTACTCTCACAAGAGCAAGCATAGATCCCGCAAAATAATACGATTTTGCCCATGCTTGCAAGAGCAAAAGGAAAAAAAAGGAGTACCGCAAAATCATACGATT